AGATTTAAGCCCCGCGATGGAGTCATCGAAGGTCACCTCGCGGACGAATTTGCTCTCTAGTATGTTAGATGATGTAAGCGTTTCTTGACCCTTTGAAGTTCTTCGTATGGAATTAGATACGAGTGTAGCCGTCTTTTCTTTTTGAAACCAGAGTGCCACCTCCTCCGAGGAACTTGACTCGCAGCCAAGCCATTTGGTCCGGTCTTTTATCTTCGATGAGACAGTAATACAAGCTGACCGTTCGAAGAAGAAGCCATGACCCTTTGACCCCGCGGAAATGCCGACTCTAGAAGACATTCATTGTCCATGGAAAGAGGTTCCGTGAGGGAGGGAGAGAACTAGGATAGGAAGATGCGGACATTCCTAGTCATGCGCGCGCGAGAATAGCGGCCTTGCTGATGGATGGTGGACCCTTCAGGTTGACAGGATAACACGAATAAGTTCAGAGGATGACTTCGAGATTTGGATCAATTACTTTTCCTTTCTTTCTTTCTTTCTTTTTTCCACGGTGATTCAGGGTTGGGCAGCTGGCGAGCCCGCCGCCGATCTGATGGACGAATGTTTGGGTAAGCGCCGCCATCTCGTATGCATGTTTCTCTTTCTTCCTGACTCAGTTATCTCGTGGGCATGGCCTCGCTGAGAAAAAGACTGGTGATGTTTCCCTTAAATGTCTGTCATGGATTTGACGGGTCCGCTGGATTCATGCACGGTGTGCCGGTCGCTAATGCGTAGCTGGCTGAAGAGGGCACCGCCGACCCTCACCACCCATCGACGTCTTCGGAATTGATAGCTACTACTGAGGTACTGAGGTACCAGCTGCGGATACACAGGTCAAGATGGAATGATGAGGCTAGTAAACTAGAACGCCCAACCTCCGCAATGGCAAACATCCCACTCAACATCCATAGATATTTTTGCCTGGGTTAATCGAGTCTACAAATTTCAAAGTGATACGATCACCGAATCCCCGCTGCAACAACCACAGCCCAGGGTCCCGAGCGGGGCATGCCCTCTAATGGAGCACTTGAGCTTTGAAAATTTGATGCACAGGAGCCGTTACGGTGGTGGCCCCAGCTCGTAAGACCGACGCTGGCTCTCAGCTTCCAGATTTGCTTTTCCTCTCCTCTCGTTCCTTTTTCTTCTCCAACCGGAGATGACTTAATTATTCAATCTAATACCAAAATGGGGGACATATATTTGTATCTCAACTCTGATCCATTCTTTTGTTCCTTCCCGGCTCTTGGGTGCTTTACGTGCATATGATGACTTGAGCTGGAGTAACGTGTGAGTCGGGACTGTGATGGGCACAATCACACAGATCCATTGATAGATCCATGTTGTTTGCCAATCCATCCAGCATGTTAAGGGCGAGAGGCATCACAGCAGCGGACGGACGGACTCATACACCGTCTGTTCTGTGGTGGATGGATTCATCCATGGATCAGTCCATCTCACCAACTCGCTGCTCACTGTCGCCAGGCGTGCTGTAAACCGCCAAAACGCCTGGCGCTGTCCCCACTCCAGGTGGTATCTTCAAGTCCCGGAGGCAAGGGACCGACAGATTCGCTGGTTCATATTATCGCCCCCACAAAAGCAAACGGCGTTCCTCTGAAATTCAAGACGTGCCTCTTGATCCTTGATGATTCGTTCAGTCAGCTGTGGCGCTCCCTCCCTCTCCCAACCTGTCAGAGAAATTTGCTTTATCCCTTTTCTCCACAGCCGCCGCCATCTCGCCCTGGTGAATGGTATTCAGAATTTCTACCGAAGTGCTCCTAGTTGCTCTTCTTTCCTTTTGATTTTCTTTTCTTTTCTTTGCCCCCTCCTAGGCCCTGCTTGGAAAAGGTCAAGGTTGACCCCCAAGGGCTGATATGAGGCAGCAGAGAGCAGAGCGGAGTCCCAGATACGAGGCGGCACATGCATGTGTCGGCATCGGATCCGTCACACCCTATTCGCGTTCTCCTTTCCTTTCATCTTGAGATGTCTTTTATGACCCAAGTTGCCTAGAAGGGGAAAGGGCAGAAGGTGCGAAGGAAAGGGCTCAAAAATGAAGTGCAGCAGGGGCGACTCACTTTCATTAATCTCGCATCCGAGAAGGTGCGGGTTGGGACTTCCCATTCTGTTGTCTTGTGTGTCCCTTTTGCTTGTGTCCGACGATGAAACCTTTCCGATCTGTCTACTGTTGTTTGCGTATCACAACGAGAATCCGAGACGCATATGACTAGTGTTCATCGTTGCGGACGGCGGGCGACGAGATGCCACGAGGGCGACTAGGAGAACACCGTTCACCTCCCACTTTTCCTCCCTTCAGCTGTACGCGCATCTTGGCCCTGGCTGCAGCTCAAGCCTGCATCGGATACACCCATTTCCTGGCCTACATTTCACGTGCATCCTTGGTAGCATTGAGGCCCCGACCGATCCCTGGGAAGTTGCCTGGACAAATCTCGATCGCACTAGCTGCGGTAATGGAGCACATCGTGCCCGAGTTTTCGTGTATGCCAGGTTACGCTCGTGTCACTTTGTCGCACGGCTTCAACAGATTTTGGATAGATTCATTCTTAGGTGTCATGGGAGTGGGTGGAGATGCATCTCGAACCACTGCCAGTGGAGAGTGTACCTAGAACACCTCCTCACGGCCAGCTATGGGGGAGGCTTTCTTGCTGACTGGGTCGACCCGTGCCCGGCCCCTGGGCCAAAGACGTTTCAAAGGCCGTGAAGATATTCTGCAAGGGATGTGCAAAATACGGGTCTCGCATGGGATGAGTCCCTTTCCCAGGTCACTGTCAAGGAGATGTACTCGGCACTCGGGGCCGTTCACCACCCCCTGGTCGTCCCTTTCTGGCCTCCGCTCTGCCGCCACAGGATGCACGGAGACATACTCTGAAGCGGGAGACAACCTTACAAGGGTCCGCTATCACAATCGCTGGAAGGGGAGCTTCAACGCACCTCCGCCTCTCAGACTTTTAGAACTCTCTTTCTTTTGCGACAGCCGTATCTGACTTGTCACTGATCTTTTTGCTCCCTGTTTCCCGCACGAAATAATGCTGCCCCTGCTGCGGGTGGGCTGACGCCTTGGTATCCGGGGTTGTGGCGAGCGTGAGACGGAGGTATCGCGTATTAAGCCTCACTGCAGCACGGAATTGCGTTCTTCCCGGCAACAAGAGAAGCCAGAGACCCGCCATAGGCCTGAGCTCCACAGCGCGGCGTTTCTCAGTCCAAAAGACCAATCTTTTCGAGGACAGCTGCCCCCGACTCGTGCACGCCGGGGATTTTGGCCTAGGTGGCGTTGACTGCCTGTGCTCGGCCTACCGTACATACAAGTACTCAAATACCTAAATACTGGGCGTTCCCCGTCCCATGGCTGCCGCCATGTCGACCATGTCCGTCTCATGTCCCCTTCCGCCCTTTCCTTTTTTCCCTCCTCTTTCTCCTCTCCTTTCTTTTATTACCAGTATCCATCCTATATCTCGCGTGAATAGTGGGGTGATCTTCCATCTTGGCCTCCTTGTCGACGGTGGACCGTATCTCGCCAAAGCCAATATCAACCCGTCTACTTCACCGTCTCCCGTGCTATCGGCCTCTGCCACACTCGAATACAGCGTCCCGAGGATGCCTAGCTAGGAGCCTACATTCCTGGCTCAACATTAAATCGACGGGAACAAAGAAAAAGAAGCATGGACATGTCTGTTAGTGTTTTTGCTTCGCCTATCAACGGGGCATCTCGCGCGTTTCTGCCCGCAACAGAATCGCCAGGTTGCCTGCCACCGCCTAAACGTCGTCGCAGCCAAGCTCACTTGATTGACTGTTGTCGAACATGCCGGCTTCGAAAGGTATGCCCTAGAAAGAATGAACGTTGGCTCGAGTTTCACCCTATCAACATCAAAACACCGAAAGTTCGGCTCTGAGCAAGATCCTGAATGGCTTCTGCCATCAGGCGATCGTCTGAATGTGTGAGGACTGTCGGGAGGAAGCCGACCCTGGACATGCAAAATGGACCAAGAAAAACTACTGACATGGCCTGTCTGGAAACCCCAGGTAAAATGCACAGGGATACCCATGGGCGGAGGTGCATGCCAAAATTGCGTGCGTCTCGATTTAGGGTGTAGCTTTGTCTCTCGGAACGACTCTGCCCCTGAGAGTGGTAAGGCAAACAGTCCCTCTTATGCTGGTGTAACGGGTGATGTGCCAAGTCTGACACGTTCGTGACCGGGATAGTATCGCGTACGAAGCCGTCTCGAAGCCACACCGAAGCAGGCACCCTTCGGAAACGCGCACAACGAGCGTGTACGGAGTGTCATTCTCATAAAACAAGATGTTCTGGTGACTTACCTAGATGCAAGCGATGCGAGGCCTCGAATCTCAAGTGCGAGTACACTCCCGCCAAAAGGAGATTTCAGCACGTCCCTGTAAACGCGACTCAAGGAGGTCACTCATCCGAGCCTAGCACACCAACAGATCCGGCTTCCCCAGAATCAGATGAGCCGATCCAAGCAACTGCTGCGACAACGCCGCCGATTCAATTCCCGGATCTTGCAAGCCTTGTAAAAGAGTAGGTTGATGGAAAACTCTGTCGATATAGAATCCGCTCTAACTGGACCTAGGAACATTCTTGCCAACAAGGATCTCATCCTGAAGCATCTCGATGCTTACTTTGAATATCTTTACTTCATGCCATGTCTTGGTTTTATCCATAGGTCTTCTGTGTACGCGGAATTAGATGTAAACTTTTCTTCTCCATACCCATACCGAGCGCGCATCATGTCTAGGTGTTGGCTTATCTTCCTACTAACACACAATCGCACCCGATCTAGGAGGACAGACTTCATCCCGCCCGGGCAGCCGCCATCTGCTCGGTTGCTGCGTTTTTCGTCTCGCCCGGACCCAAAGCGGTGGCCTTCGCGCAGAGGTGCTCCATGCACGTAGAATTCCACATATTTTGCAATATCGGGAGTTTGAAAGAGATCAACCTTTTTCTATATTCATTCGACATCCTCCACAACCATATGAACGGGAAATTTGCCAAGTGCTGGCAGCTCGTAGCTAGTGCAATCCGTCTCATGCTGGGACTTCAGCTGAACTGGGAGGTACCGGGGTCCAAACGACCGTTTAAAGATCAAGAGTGTGCGAGGAGGCTCGTTTGGCAGCTCTTCAACTTTGATCGCGTATTCGCCGAAGGGTTTGAGGCCTACATCTGCTGCCGGGAAGATAATATGAAGATTCGACTTCCATGTCCCGAGGACGCCTTCAACGCCAACAAAGAGGTTCCAGTTGAGCACCTGAATGACCGACCGATAAAGTCTTCCGGCCCTCCTGGTCTGCACGGGTACCAAATCAAAGTGGTGAATATCCGCCATCACGTTTTAACGTAAGGAGGCCAAGCCCATTGCTCCGAGCCGAAACTCTTTCAAGCTAACATGGATTCTTTGTTTAGGATGTCGAAGAAGTTTGCTTCCGGACCCGCGTACCTCCAGCGGGAAAGGTGGGAGCCATCCAAGGTTATGGAGGATGTGAGGAAGTTGCAGCTGGAGCTATCAAGGTTTAGCAGCTCGTTACCCGACCCCATGAAACTTACCGACCAAAACATTATGCAGTGGATACCGTCCAAGGAGAGGCAGGTGTTCGTTTTAATCCACGGTCTCTTATGTACAGCACACATCGATCTCTATCGCTTCTCACTTCCAGGCATCCGAGAACGCGGTACGCCCGACCTCTTGAAGAAGCTCCCGCATGACTTCATTGTCAAGTCGCAGAAGCAAGCCATTGCGCACGCCATAACACTCGCACGTTTTTGGGAGACCGTGCACGGGCAAATGAAGGTGCTGCATCGCGATCGGATTGTCCTGGTTGGGGATTACAACATCGCGCCACTCATTCAGCAATGTGCCAAGGTCCTGATGACGGCGAAACAGCACAAATTGTATCGGGATCTAACATCACACAGCACGGCCCCATTATGGCGCAACGAACTTGCGGATGGGGCATCGATCCGCCGCTTGATCGATTCGTGTCTTCAGGTACTGCAGCCATGGTCCAAAGTGATACCATCCGCGAAGTCTAGAGTATGTCGACCTTTCTCCTTTCACCATCTTTATCTTGGTTCGAAGCGTCTCAAAACTAACGATGGGTGCCCTTCAGTATGATGAACTAGTCAAGAGCGTTGAAGAGTTCGATAGGACGAGCCGGTACGAAGAAGAGACGACACTCAAGTTAGCCAGCAGCGACCCAAGCTCTATCATGCGGCTGCCTGGACCTCACTACATTCTCGAGAACGCCTACATGGCCCAAGCCCAGAGGGACCAGATGAACACCCCTCCCGCTGTTCCTCCTGCCGTCCTCGCCCGGGTCTTCGGGGCAGCACTCCAACAGGCCAATTATACGCACGACCCATACACCGGCCTCGATGCGCCGGAGGATGACTGGCAATCAGAGTACTGCCCCCGGTATGCCTATTGTCTTGGCCGAAGCTAGAGGTCTACCGATAGAACAGCTCAATATCAACGACCCGACAGACGGCTCAAATGGCACGCCCCAATTCGACAGGGAAGGCGTAAGCTCTCATGCAGCCACGGCCACCGTCACAGGATTTCTTCCAGGGCAGGGCCTACCAGGACATCGGCTTGGGCAGCAAGGAGACCCGAGAATGGCGCAAGGCCCCTCGGCCACTTCGCTTACTGCATCCGGGCCTCGCAACTCCATGCCAGGTACGCTTGCCAGCTCGCTGTCCGGCCCAATCCAGGGGGAGGTGCTGGGCCCTACTCGCACACACCAGACATACCGATGCAGAACACACACGGAGCTTTCCAGGTGAATATGCCGTCCATGGCGCAGCCGAACCCATATCTCGGGTCACAAAACGCGGTGCACAATCACCATCAACCAATGTCGTTCTCGGGTGGGACGACCACAAATGGAGGGCCCAATTATGGCACTCATCTTTATGGAGCAGTAGGCGGGCCCATGGGCGCACAGTCTCTCCATCAGCCTCTCCACCAGCCGCCGCCACTTCAACGGACGCAAACGGCAAATCAGTATTCCTGACTGGCGGCCAGCGGAGAGATGTCGTGCTCGATGATGCTCCGGGGAATGAAGAGGAAGCGTACGGCTTCGGCATATGCAAGCGAGATGAGCCTGCGTGGTGAAGCCATTCTCGTGTCGTCAGGACCCGCCCTCTAAAGTATATTGCCATGTCTTGTCTATGTGCCGGGGGCAGAGCTGTCTATGAAAGAAAGTGCTCGAATCCGGATTGCTGTTGCTTGGATAGAGCTGCACATGGGGACATATTATATCACGACACGAGCCCTGGGCGTGAGCCCGCGAGAATGTACACATGGATGGAAGCAGGGACAGGAGTTAATGGGCTCTTTTTCTATATCGTGTCATCTCCAAGAGATATCCCACCTCACTTTTGTTTTGAAAATACCCTTTTTGCTCTTGCTGGAACGTGGGCTTGGAAGGACGCCGGATGGGGTGAACGCGACACAGATTGATGGAAATCGTCGTGAGAGGGAGGGAGGCACTTTTATCATTACATTTTTCTCCCTTTTGTATTCCTTTACAATTCTTCTTCTTTTATCTTTTTTCTTTCTTTTCTCACTTTGCATCTCCTCGTGTACACCACGCACTAGTTCTTCTGTTTCTTCAACGACTACTGCCTTGGTGTCTTCTATTCTTCTTTTTCTTATTACACTTCTTCCTCCTTGCTAAATCGCGCCGCATCGCCGCATCGCCGCCATGATTTACATTTATTTTATCTATTATTATCTAATTTTCTCCCGGTGACCTTGACTAAAACCTGTGGCCGACTTGAATAGCTCCAAAGAAAGTATGGGACGGACGCCGATCATGTCCACCTCTGGATGAGGAGGTGATCGCGTTTATGGGGCGTTTGAAATTGAAATTTGATGTCTTTGATCTTGGGATTTGGAATTGGCGCGAGATCACGTGATGCACTGTAGTTGCCAAGCGCGGGCGCCGCTGGCCAGATGGTCGGACACGGAATCGGGATCGGGAGTGGATGGTCGGCCGGTCAAGGGAGGCTGATCTGTCGTTTCAGCATGCTCTCTTGGTGGAGGGGAGCGCGAGGGGTCACATTGACGAGGCAGCTTCCCGCCCTGTAAAGCGAGTTTGCCCTTGAGCGCAAGGCGACGCTGTCCCCTGGATGCGCTGCACACAAGGACCACGACTGCACGCGATTACGTCGGATCCCCACGATGGCTTCGGACCGTGAGACGCCGCGGGGTCGTCTGTAGTTTTCCGGGGTGTAGCTTGCGTCCCAAGTTTCCACTTCTTCTTTTTTTCATTTTCATTTTTCCTGGGTTTCTTTTTTTTTTTTTTCTTTTCCCTTGCTTTTGCGGGTGGAGGGAGGAACCGAAGAAGAAGAAAAATACAAAATTACACTACACTACACTCCACGGCAAGGAGGTCACTTGCAATCAAGACGAAATATTTCGGGCTGACGTGGAGGACCACGTACTTCGCATGCACGCAAGTCCGGAGGTGAGGGAAGGCTTTTGGGTTGCGGTCAGATTTTGATGAGGTGTGAACCGAAGAAGAAGCAAAAAGAGGCAAAGCAGACAAAAAGTGACGAGCGACGTGGCACCGTTGGTCCAAGAACTCCTACCAAAGGGCAAAGGGCAAAGGCAAAGGCAAAAAAAAACCATGGTACGCCCAAACGCCTCGGAGACTTGGAAATATCGCGGAGGCCTGTCATCTTTTGCCTTTTCCCTCCCACACTTCGAGGTATCCAACGCCGGCGAGCAGGGTATAACAGGGACGTGTTAAGAGAATCTCAAGTGCCAGGTGCAAGTGCCCCGTTGCCTGCCCCTCATTACCCCAATTGAAAGCTGGCGGGGTGCATCGCGGTAGTTCAATTGATTCCTCGTCGCCGCACAAATCCCCGACCGAGGGCTGCTGCTTCCCAGACATTTTCAGACGGTTCATGTTGGTTTAGTTAGGTCCGGTGCCTGAATATCGTCTCGACTAGTTTTAGGGGTTTGAAAAGTGAACCGGCCCCCTACCAGTCTCTCCCACTCTCGCCGCCCTCAAACCCCGAATCCATCAAAGCGACATCTTCTCCCGCTCTGTTACGTCGCCCCTTTAACCGAATTTGCCTCGCCTTTACGTCGATCACTCGCCGATTAGACTTACGTACGCGCACACACGCGTCCTCCCCCTTCCCCTTCTGGATAGAGTACTGACAAAAAGAAGAAGGGAAAGTTATATGAATAAAAATAAGATGGGACAGGGTTGTCGATTCAAGTTTGAACGAGTAGCATTCGGTAGTCTCAAAGCTTGGTAGGCTTGAGCCATGTTGCAAGGCACCTATTGCTGCGATTCAATCGTGCCGCTGGCGGTGGGTTGTGATGCATGCCATCGTCGAGATGAACGGCCTTGCGTTTTCGTTACTTTTTTCCCTTTCCTTTTCTTTTTCTTTTGCTTTCTGTTTTCTTTTCCGTCAGTTTCTTTCTTCCTTTTGTTTTTCCTCCCGTTTTCGTTTTCGTTTTCCTTTTCCAAAGCAGTCATCTTCCATCCCCGATCCCGCCAATCTACACCAACCGTCTAATAATCTCAATCTTTTGTTCATTCAACACCCTAGCCTAGCACAGTAGTGTGTACTTGGCAGTATTTTCTTTTGTTCACCCTCCCCTGCATAGATGGTTCCTGCCAAACCTGCCGGCTTCCATCCAGCCGGACTCGCATTTAGAAAGTTCTCGGCACTGCCTTGGGAACCCCCCCAATTCCAAAATCGTTCGTTTGAGCCCCGCGGTAAAGCGGGCTGCACAAAATCAAGAGTAAATGAACCCGAGTCGATATGGATATACGGCCGCGGCGGTCTGCGGAGTCTGTCATCGGGAGTTAAGGACTTGCACCGTGATGTGACACTCCCTCCCGCAAGCAGACCCTGGTCTTGGCATGAGTTTGGCATATCCTTGACGTCTCCCGTCCGTTCTGTCCGTCTCATGACGTGAAATGTCAACCCGATCTGTGTCCCGCTTCTTGCCCCGCCCCCTCCAGCTTCCGAGCTTCTTCTTGCCCAGCAACATGCCCCGATTCAACCTTCTCGGCCCTCTAGCGAGAGCAGAGGCAAGAACAATACGCAGCGGGCCAAGAAACTTGTCGTGTCTGTAAAGGCCACCATCCACTTGATTCAAGACTGCTCTTCGGTAATACACCTTTGCCTTCGCCTGGCGTAGGCGCAGACAAGAAAGGGGTGCCGGGCTCTCTGTTTGTTTCCCACCAAGGGGTAATATATTTGAAATTAATTGATGTGCATTAGTTCGATATTCCCCGGAACAAAGTCTTGGTGGCATGTCCTTGAAGGCATTTCCCCAGGCCCTTATTAACCGTCATATTTGGTGACAGCGGAAGCAAGAGCTTCGAGACGAACCAAGGGCCTTGCGATAGGTGGAAACTCATTTCCCCGTCCTCCAGCGGCAAGCACTTGAGCCGGTCTCTGGGAAAGCTGGTCTGCGAATTGATCTGCAACCCAAGTCATACGCTCTCTCGGCACGAGAGAAAAAAAATACGGAAGAGGCTCGATGCGGCCCGCTTTCATTCGTCCATTCCGCAAAGCTGCCCCAGCCCAAACCAAACAGCACCTGGAGTGGGGGGCGGCTTTGAAAAGTGACAACAATAGAAAAAAAGAAAGAAGGAAAAAGTGCAAGGCAGAGAAGGTAAGAGACGAGGGGCTGTAGGGGCCGTTGGATGAATACCCGAAAACAAAGGAAAACAGCCCCGGAAAGCCTCGCGGAACGACAGCTTCACGGGCCTTGGCCGTGGCATGAGCTCTTGTGGACAGCGAACACACCTCTCAAGCTTCTTCTGACAGATGCGCACCTTGCCTCTCATCACTAGAGCGGATGAGAAAAGCGAGAGGTAGACAGAAAGAGAGAGACAAAGGTGTTGACATTTCCCTATTCCCGGGCTCCCTCGGCCGTCTCCCCTTCCCTTCCCTTCCCCTTCCTGCCTCAACGCCAGCGCCGCACTTCTTTCCCGACCCTGGCGCGCTTGTCCTGCCATGGATTTCGGCTCCCGGGTGGCAGGCAAAATATGCGTGTATCAACATGATGCTGCCGCCGAGAGGATGTCTTTCCCCTTTTCTCCGTACCTCACTCCCTGTTGGTGTGTTGATTGATTTGATATAATTTGGGAGGATCTCCTCTCTTCACACCCCCTTCTCTCATCCCTGCGCATTTTCTCATGCCAGATTCTCAGCGTGGCCCCAGACCGAGTGTTGCATAGAGGGGGCAAGAGAAAGAGAGGGAGTGCTGAGGATGAGGGGAGGGGAGGGAACCGAACTTTTAGGACCAACCGATTCCAGATAATTCTTCCCACCACGGCAGATGTTATCGCCGCTTGCCACTCCCCCTTTTCACTCCCTCCTCTCTCATTTCAACTCTTCTCTTGTATAACTTGCTAGAGCTTAGGGGATGCCTATGAGCCATAGGGCGCAAAAGAGCGCTCCTCCTCACCGCCATGAGCACGCATCCCGATCCCCAAGACCCCTCCAGATCGGACAAGGCCTGGCCCCGAGGTCAAATTAGCGAGAAGCTCATTGTGTTCGGCCTTCAGCCCATGGATAGTGTAAGATGTGGGCAGCGTGTTGGGAGGTAAAGAAGAAGGCAGGACGAGGATGCTCGTCTGCTCTGTTTTCTTTTTACTTAGGACATCATTTCGTATCACGGCTCCCGGATTATCCCACTCATAACTCTTAATGGAGCAGACGGAGGATAATGAGTTATGCAGAAAAGGAGATGAAAAAGAAATACCGAAAAGAAAGGCAGATGTGATGGTGTCGGGGATCAGCGGATCGCGCATCGGCAAGTAGGCTTGCGGGTTAAGCGATGCAGACAAAAAGCTGGCATCTAGCGAGCTAAGAAATCCAACCATTAATTCCATCCATGACGCAAAGCAGGGCAGGAATGTTCGCCCTGGTCCTCGCCGCTCGTCGTCGACATTAGCCTACCCCTTACCAAGAGCCCCAATTCGGCTCTCGTAGAGTATGCTGTGCTGATGCTGTCTTGAATTAAGCGAGGGGGCCACTGTATAAGCCGCAAGAACAGCTTCTATGCTCACAATTTTGTTAATCGCTTGTTGGTCCTGTAATTGCATCTCCGAGTCGGGGCTCGGCCAAAAACCT